AGTAAAGTTGATGAATGAATCTTAAGAGTGAGCACATTTAATATGCAGTTTGAGTCTATTACTATGGAATAATAGATTATTTTAGGACAGGAAGTTTTTCTGTGGGCATATCAATAACCTTTATCTCAATAAAGTTCCAGATAAAGCTTATTTTTCCCCTGAAAGTCTGGACCATGGCTAGATAAAGAGCATGCTGATTCTGAACTCAGAGTATGAAGACAGCCTCGGAAGCTGGGTGATCTGATAGTCACTGGAATAACTGCACTAGTGTTGAGTTGTCAGCTGCCATCAGACAGCTGTTCAGAAGAACCGTAAGGTAAATTAAAACAGAGCTCAAACAGCTGGACCTAATTGGCCTGGCTCTCCATGTAGAGTGGGTCTGTTTTGAGGGACTTAAAAATCCTTGTTTGCACTCTGGCTGTTGTGGCTCAGTCAGTTGGAGTGCCGCCCTGTTCACAGAAAGGTGGCAGGTTCCATTCCCCTTCAGGGCACATACCCAGATAGCACACGTATCTCCAACAGATTTTATTCATTGAACAAGCACTTATTGAACACAAATTCTTGCCCTTGTCCACTTTTTTATATATGCAGTATCATAATCTTTGGCAAATTTTATGGAAATGACCTTTAATAGCCAGAAACTAACTTTATATAGCTTTTTCTAGGTATGTAATTATTTCATCAACTAAGAGGTCATCTATAATGTAGGTCTCCTAGATCGAATTGCCTAATGTAACTCTGTGTACCTATATTTCTGTATATGAAAATCAAAGAACAAGGACAGAAGCATTTGAGAAAATAGTGAAAATTATAGCACTTGTATGTAAAAGAGGGAAACCAAACCCAAGCATATAGATCCTGTCCTGAAAAGAATACACATTCTTTGCTCACAGGTGCGCTGTGGGTGTTTTAGATCGAACTCAGGGATCTCAGGGATTTCTCTTGTGGCTGTGCTACTGGCATTTCATTCAGCTGAGCATTTGTGATATAAACTGATGAAGGAAATGTTATCAGCAGGGTGTTAGTTGCTTGTTATGACTGGTAAAATTCAAACTTACTTGAAATGAAAGCTAATTTTGTTTATTAAGGGAGGAAATTCTTAATTAGGATAGAATATCAACCACATTTTATAAAACTCCCTGGCTGCAGTTGGAGTTTTGGTTCTTCTGTAAACATCTACAGTAAATGGGTAAGTTTTTTGACTTATATTCAGTGTGCATATTTTTAGATTGGCATGGTAAATTTAAATGAAAACACAGGAAGGTCTCCTAGATCTGGAAGTAGGAATACTTTAGGCAGGTCAGTCACACTGAACAAATCCAGTTATGAGACACAGTCAAAGAGAAGTGCCCAGGAACCCCCGGATTCCTGTCTAAGTTGCTCTTTGTTCCCGGGCGTTGTCACATGTTACTCTTCTTAGGTGAGAGCTGCATCTGATTCCTGTGTGTGGTTTAGGATGTCAGTTCTGCAGGTTTCTGCACTTTGACCACGTGCTGATAATTAGCTCAGGACTTCCTGCAGCACATTTGATGAATGAAAAATAGTAATATGGTTAGAAAACTACGACAAGATCACGTTCAAGATGTTAACTTGCTACACGGTCTTGGTATTGGCAGCTTATATGGCACATAAAACTTACTGTTGCATGGCTTCTGACCCGATGAAGACTTGAGTGTAATCTTAAGAATTTTTTTCATTATCCAACTAGCCTAGGAAATTGGTAGACAATTGGGAGGACATTTAGGAAAGCAACTTTTTGAGATTATAAAAGTGTCACAGTTATTTATTTTTAGGAAAAGACATGATATTTTACATCGCAGAGAAAAGCAGAGCCCTGGCTGGCATGGTTCAGTGGTTAGAGTGTCGCCTGCACACCAAAGGGTCACTGGTTCTATTCCCAGTCAAGGGCATGTACCTGGGTTGCCAGCTTGCTCCCTGCCCCAGCTGGAGCTCGTGGGGGAGGGAACTGGTTGATGTGTCCCTCTCACATTGATGTTTCTCTCCCCCTCACTTCTACTCTCTCTGAAAAAGCAATGGAAAAAATATCCTCAGGTGACGATTAATAACAACAAAAAGGCAGAATGGGGTTTTGGGGAGTCTGTCTGGAAAGTTTCTTTAACAGTGACGAAAACAGTCATTATTTACATATGGTCTATGTAGAAAGTAAAGGATTAAGTCATGACTCTGGCGCTCAAAGAGTTCTCAGTCTCCTGAGGTAGCTAAGTACATGCACAAGTACGGATTTGTGTAAGTGTAACATAAGCACGTGCAAGATGCAGCCATAGTACCCAGCTCTCCTCCCCTTCCACCTTGAGCCAGGACATATAAGGTTAGCATTCATTTGCAATTATAAGCACATCTCCAATTCTGATTTGTATCTTCATAGTTTGTTCAGTAATGACAAAGTTACAGCTTTAAGAAAGAATCTGTAATAGAGCAATGTATATTTTTTACAAAATAACAGTGATGTAAGTAACTAAGAACTTGACATCAAATTTCAACTGGTAGCATTGGGTGGCTCAGGGTATCACACATTAATAGCTTATCCTACTTGTCCCTTTTAGTTCACCAGTCCTTGTCTTACCTGGTCATGATTTTCGTTGAAGAAACTGCCATATTCTAGTCATTTAGGTGCACTGTCTTAATTTTTGGCTTCTCCTATTTCCTATACTCCACAAGATGTTGTATGGTATCTTTCACTTGTGGTTTACATTCTGAATTTGTAAACATGTACATGTATTATATCCATTAAATCAGTGAAGTCAAACACACAGTACAGTAGCCTGTGAAGTTGGTGTGATTTTGTGTGTGTATGTGTGTGTGTATGTGTGTTATTCAGTATCCTTGGTGGGCCGTTTGGTTTCTGTGAAGCGCAGGTTCACTCCCCTGCCACGAGACATTAAATTGAAAAGCACCACATTATGATCTGAGATCTAAATATTAGACAGTGGTGCAGTAGAATTTTTGGTAATTTTAAGTCATTTTGAGTCTAGCTTTTGTAAATATTGTATAATATATAAAAACTTAAAAGAATCATATGTATTATAATATGTATCTCTACCTGGCTCTGGTCATTTATATAGTGGGAAAAAATAATAGCGCCTCCACAAGCATTGATTCTGTTCTGCAGAGTCCCCAGCCTTATAACCCAGCACTTGTCAGAAATAGGCATTTTTTTTTTTGGTTATAAGTTAATTACTGTATGGGATTTTTTTTTAAAACAGCCCCTTAAACAAGTTTTCAGTGAAAGGCTGCCATCTCGTGGTTGTTAAAAATACATGATTTAAGAAAAATGTGATATGAATGCTGCATATTTATGCATAGTTGTTTTATGCTACCCAAATGAGTAAGAAATGAATACTATTAAATCTTCTCTTTAAATTATATTTGCTTATCCTTTGGATAGATTTATTCATTTTATTTTAATGTTAGAATTTTTAAATTTCTATTAATTAAAAATTTTTCATTTAGCCCATTCTCAAACATCAGTAGAAATACTCCTCTACAATTGCAGTTTTAATTAAGAACAGATATTGAGAATTTTTATATTAAGGCTTTTCCGGTGTCACTAATTAATAATAGAATTATTTGGATTAAAAAAGAATACTGTTGCCCAGCCAGGCATGGATCAGTGGTTGAGCATCGACCTAGGATCCAGGAGATTGTGGTGCGATTCCCAGCCAGGGCACATGCCCAGGTTGTGGGCTTTTTCCCCATTTGGGAATGTGCAGGAGGCAGTTGATCAATGATGACTCTCTCATCATTGATGCTTCTATCTGTTTCTCTCCCTCTCCCTTCCTCTCTGTGAAATCAATAAAGATATATTTAAAAAAAAATACTGTTCTTTAAGATGTAATTATTTGACAAAATATATTCAAAAGAACCTTAATTTTATAATATAGCACTCCAATTAGTAAAAAGTGATATTTAAGAAAAAAACACACACCTGAATTTGGACCTCATTTTTGGGTAGTTAATAATATAAATGGAAATAATTAATTTTTCTTCAGAATATCAGAGAGGCCCTAATTTACAGTTAGGGAAGTCTTAAAAATCACCTCTTATGTAAGGAATGGGAAGTGCTTGCAAGCTTGGGGACAGTTCTTTATCAAAGGAGTTTCTATATGATAAGTTACAAAATTGCTTTTTAAAATAACTATTTTTACTTGTTTAATCTCATTTTATATCTTGACTTATGCCTCCTGTTCATCTTGATTTATAATATTCATTGTATTTAAAAGTAACAGTCATTTTTAAAAAAAATGTGAGACTATTGTAATAAACTTACATGCCTGCATCTGTGTCTCATACATGCTGACATTTTTTTCCCCCAAGGGTTGATTATTAAACATTTACTAGCATATCATTGGGTAGAATCCACACAATATTGTAACAATGAAAAACCGATAAGGTATAGTTGGGGAACTCAGTGGTGAGACTGTAGGGACAGAACCCAAAACCATGACTGACTTTGCCTCCATACTGGGCGGCAAGCTGTCTCCTCAATAAGCCCAATGCGGCCCCCCCTGTGTGTTTGACGGCAATAGTGTGTTAACACAGGCAGGCGCTATAGCCAATGAGAAGTTAGAAGAAATGCTCTTTTTGATTTTTTTCCCCTTACTGCATCTTTATACAAGAAGAACTGAACTGTGATTTGACTAATAGATTTAAAGTATGTTAAAAAAATTCTTCTTACTGAAACGTGTAGTTCCTCTCTGTAGTACATGTGTTCTCTCAGAGACAAGCAGGAGTCTGGTACATTGGTCCCATGGACTTCATGGCCTGGACCCATTAGTAATCCTGGAAGGGAATCACTGAAAGAGAAAGCTGTTACCCGCCCAGAACTCTAGATGTAATGCTCCAGAATTGCTTCTCTGATTTTAGTGGGTTACGGCAGCTTTTAGATAAACTGCCTCCTCTGTTTCCCCCTAAGCAGGGAGGGAGAAGGCCTCCAGTCAGGGGTAGAATTGACGTCTTGCGCTTTTTCAAATGTCTTGCAGTTATGCTAAGAAAGAATCTGACCTTAATGGAGCCCAGATGAAGCTTCGAGAATATGAAGCAGCCCTGAATTCTAAAGATGCGGCTCTGGCCACTGCACTTGGTGACAAGAAAAGTTTAGAGGGAGAACTGGAGGATCTGAAGGATCAGATTGCCCAGGTAAGGTTAGCTCTGCTCTTGACCTGTATTTGGCAGGGTAATCGCCCCATCTGTAAGTTTGTTTCATTGTTTTTTTTATTTTAAAAAGGTATTACTTTATTTTATGGCTTATCTGATAGTGTCGAGGTAGATAACACGAGAGCACCTTCACTCTTCAGCCGCTGTGTCTGGATCATGCTCACCTCCCTGTGCCGTGCTTATGCTCCTCTGTCTCTTGCTTTCAAAGCCCGTTTCGTTATTGTAACAGAATGTGAGGTAGGAAAGGAGAAGCTGCCCCAGGAAAACATGAAAGTGGGGCTCACGTCTTTCGCTTGAGTTTTGAAATATTTATTCCCCGTTGCTAGTTGCCAAATCTGAGAGTGTTTCGGTGTGGCACTCTGTGGGTGGGGCCAGCAGTTGAACATACAGTTAAGGGTGAAGGTTACAATGAGGGGCTCTCATATGTTTGTAAATATAGAGAAGGTGCAATACTTGATTGGATTCAATCCATAGGTATCAATTAAATTCATTACTGAATGATTGCTGTATAATTTTCATCAATTCTTTTTCCTTATATTAGTTGGAAGCCTCCTTGACTGCTGCCAAAAAACAGTTAGCTGATGAAACTTTACTTAAAGTGGATTTGGAGAATCGCTGTCAGAGCCTTACTGAGGATTTGGAGTTTCGTAAAAGCATGTATGAGGAGGTAACTATGTATAATTTTACTTTTTCAAGGAATGTAGGGATCCCAAAAGGCTTTGTTATAACTGTATATATAAAAAATGGGAGAAATTTTGTAGGTAAACTTTTCAAGGTACTGATGCTAAAAGGCTGCACATAAGAATTCCAGCTGTTATAGTAAACAGGTATGATTATGTCATGCAATTTATAAAGGCTTAGTCACAGCGGTTAATTCCTGTCAACCTGTTTCAGCATTTGTATTAGTTATGTACTGCTGCCTAACAAATTACTCCAAAACTTAGCATCTTAAAACCACAGACCTTCATTATCTCACAGTTTCTGAAGGTCAGGATTCTGAGAGCTGTTATGTTTCAGGGTCTCTCATGAGGTTACAGTCAGGCTTCAACCTTGGCTGGAGGAACTGCTTCCGAGCTCATTCACAGGCTGTTGGTAGGAGCTGTTAGTTCAGCAAGGGCTTCCCCAGAGCGCTGCTCACGGTATGGCTTCTCCCAAGAGGGGTGATGAAGGAGAGAGGGAGAGCAAGACGGAGGACTCATAATCTTGTGTGAGCTAATCCCAGAAGTGATACACCTTCCCTCTCCTTCACACAGCCAACTATCACACACAGTGTGACTACCAGGAGGCACAGCCATTGGGAGCCTTTTGAAGGCTGGCTACCCATAGCATTTATAGTTATATGTGTATCTTTTAAAGTATCATTTACAAGCCTTAACTTCTGTGGTCAAGCCTTGGAGGTTGAAGGCAGCAAGTGTTGCCAAAAAAGAAGTAATAAAATTGGAGAAAGGGGAATGTATATTTCCTCCAAATTGTAGAGAGTTGGAATTAACCCCAGAGTGAACATGCAGTTACTACTTAAATGTTTTTAGAAGTAATATAATTTTGAAAACAGTGACTATCAGTGATTTGAAAATAGGAATGCATTGTATACATTAAATGTTTTTTAAGTGGAAAAAAATATTAGCAATCTGACCATTTTTATAATGATATAGTATTAAAAAAATGGGAATTGTTGGGGTGAGGTGCACTCCCAAGCAGTCAGACTCTGGACAGCTCTTGAGTCGATTTTTTATTTAAAAAAAAATACCAATACCTGGTAATTTTTCTTTAAGGATGGTGAGGATCAAAAGGAATATTGTGTGTGAAAGCTCCTTGTAAACCATGTAATTGTTGACTACAGTTTTGCTTTATAAATGGAGACATATTTACATTAAGTTGACAACATTTTTGTTTTGTTTTGTTACAATTGTTTGTGATTTACCACTACTTAGTTCTGATGCTGTGTTTGGAATCCTGGATCTTTACACCACTGAGTAGCATCTCTTTAGTTTTTGTCTTATTTTATTTTTTTACATGTAAGATATAATTCTATTCAATAAATATACCTAAGTTCCTTATTAGGATCAGTTAAAGGGGCAAGAAAAGAGGGATAAAACCAGGAAGGGAGGTAGACAAAGGGCAAAATTATGCTTAACATTTGCTGAGCTAAACCTTTCATTTGCATATTTTTCACTTCATTAAATAGATGTGAGCCCTGGCAGGTTAATAGCAGAACTGCAATTTGAACCTGGTTTTCTGATTCTGTCCAATGCATTTTCCTCTGCAAAGAACTGTTAAAAGAAAGATGAGGAAAGGCATAGAGAAACACTTGCAGTAAGATGATACAGAAACAAGAACTTCAGTGGGTTATATCCCCCCCTTGTGGCCTCTTTAATTATTGTCATTAAGACAGAGCTGTTGTATTTTCAGAGCTGGAAATGGAAATTTTATTCTTGGGCTTGTGTTCCTAGCCATTGTAGTTTTGGACAGTTCCTTAAAACATAGAGCAAAGGATTATGCTTATGTTTCTATTCTTTAATAGTGAATTGTCCCCAGCCGGGCATGGCTCAGCGGTTGAGCGTTGAACTTGGATCCAGGCGATCAGGGTTCAATTCCCGGTCAGGGCACATGCCCGGGTTGCTGGCTCGATCAATGACTCTCTCATCATTGATGTTTCTATCTCTCTCTCTCCCTCTCCTTTCCTCCCTCTGAAATCAATAAAGATATATTAAAAAAAAATAGTGAATTGTCATATGTACTCAAGATAGTAAAGTAATAATTGTTAGTAAGATTCTATATCAATTGATATTGATACCTTAGCAGCAGCTCTTACAATGTCATGTAAAGTAGCTTGTTCTACCTACTATTGCATCCTAGTACGTCTAAGAAAAGAGTTTTTATGCGCAAATCTTCTAGATGAAGTTGTCTTGACAAGGTGAACTTTTCACGTGGACTTTTCTCAGAGGTGTCCTCAGGATCAATATCACAATTTAGAAAAACAATTACTATTCAGTGTACATAGTTATTCATGATTGCATGGTACTTTAGTAAGTCTCCCATGCCTTTCCTTGCCTTAAGAGGAATAGCTATGCTGCTGAAAAGAAACATAAAATTCCCAGGGCTTGAGATGCTACCATTTCTGATATTAGTTCCATCCCAAAAACCTTCTCATTTGAAAATGAAGGCAAAGAAGTATATTCATGTTCCTTCCCTGGGACAGACGTGAGGAGGTTGGTATGTAAAACTTCAGAGGGCTCTGATGTCACTCATTCTTGTTCCAATGCAGCCGTGGTAAGCAACTGAGTTTTATATCATCCCTCCCCCCCCAGGAGATTAACGAGACGAGAAGGAAGCATGAAACTCGCTTGGTAGAGGTGGATTCCGGGCGTCAGATTGAGTACGAGTACAAGCTGGCTCAGGCCCTTCATGAGATGCGAGAGCAGCACGACGCCCAAGTGAAGCTGTACAAGGAGGAGCTGGAGCAGACCTACCATGCCAAGGCAAGAGCCTCTCCTGAGGACGGGTTTGAACTCTGAACCATGACCTCAAAATCCCCTGACGCTTGGTCTGTTCTAGTTTCTTAAATGTATCCCTGTGGTCTCCATGAATATAGAAAGTGGATTTTTAAAGAATACCCATTGTCTATAAAGTAAATGTCACTAGAAATTATTCAAAGAAAGTAGGGTTATTCTAATTTTATCTGAGATGAGGGTTCATCTTTTTGTTCCATTGCTCATTCATGGCATGTCAGTAGTAAAAACCAAGCCATTTGAAAATAGTTTTCTTCCAGTAACAAGTACTAATCATGCCATCCTGCACACCCACGTAATTGTAAACGAACGCTGGACTGCATGGAGTTCTGACCTCCATGCATCATTGTGCACAAGTTGTGACCACCACATGGGGCTTTTTTGAACAAAGAACACATGGCAAGTTTAATAATTCTTCTGCTGTCACTACTATTCATTTAAAAAATATTATAGAGCCTGGCCGGTGTAGCTTAGTGGTTGAGCATCAACCTATGATCCAGGAGATCGAGGTTTGATTCCTGGTCAGGGCACACGCCCGGGATGCGGGCTCAATCCCTAGTAGGGGGAGTGCAAGAGGCAGCCGATCAGTGACTCTCATCATTGATGTTTCTCTCTGTCCCTCTCCCTTCCTTTATTTAATAAATCAATAAAGATACATTAAAAAATAAAAATGTTTAAAAAAAAAAGAAAAATATTATAGAAACTTCCCACTTGTATTAGCAGACCATGCAAAAATCCATAAAATCTTTGTTAGTAAGTGATTTTACTCCAATGTAGTAAATGTTACATGAATTGATTAAAAATTATTAGTGGGAGATTTAGAAAATTAGGGTCATGAAGATATTGAAAATAATTTCTATTGCATGGGCTTAAACTGTTCGTGTTGCTTTTAATCCATTTTATGATGCAGCAATTGGTTGGTGGAAGGGAGAGGTCTTTTAAACCCCATATTCAGTTGTCCAACACTTGTTCAGTGCCGGACATTGTGCTGGGCAGTGGAGGAGCCAGAGTAAGGATCCGTCTGTCCGAGAGACTGTGGCCTTAAAGGGAGCCAGGGAAGAGACTACATACATAAAAATGTGCTCAAGACACGCAGAACATAATGTTATGGGTATTTGAAGGAACAGGATATTGAATCTGCCTGAGGAGCTGTTTTTTTGCTTCTGAAAGGAAGTGTTTCTATCTGGTTTCAAATAATTTATCAATTAGTGTTTTCTGCCTATTTCCTTTATATTCTGTATTATTTTGGTGGGTTAGGGATATGTGATGTTTGTTTTCCTACAGATACCACCAAGGTTAAATTGCTACTGCCCAGTCTCCTCATTAGCAGTATTATCTGAGACATTCGTGATATAGTGGATGAGATATTGAGGTAATAAGCTTTGGGTGAGGGGTATATATTAGCATTATTAAAGCTTGTACACTGAAACATTCATGGTAATTTTTCCCATGTCAGCCAACTTCATGATGCTCTTCCTGTTTCGTCAGCCAGTTACCAGCAGGGCTTAGGTTTGAGATGAAATGCCGGGAGATGAATCATGCTTCCTCCTTTGTTTGTTCTAACTCACTAGATAAGACTGACTGCTTTGCTGCTTCTTTTAGCTCGAGAATGCCAGGCTTTCGTCAGAGATGAATACGTCTTCTGTCAACAGTGCCAGGGAAGAACTGATGGAAAGTCGAATGCGAATTGAGAGCCTTTCATCTCAGCTTTCTAATCTACAGAAAGAAGTAAGTAAGCACCTTCCCCAAGAGGGATCAAAGTTGAACTTGAAAGCCACCTCCACTGTGGTAGTCTGCCTGGCTTTGCTCTGCCTGATGCACTTTTCAGAGGGGGGAGTTTGTCTGCACTCAGGTTTCACAGTGCTCCCCAGGTTTTCCCTTTTACATTGCTAAATGTCCCCTGAGCAGAAGACTATTCTTAAATTAGTAGATTACCCAGAGCCAAGGGAGTTGCCCTCCAGGAAGCAAGCTGCTGGTTTATTCCCTGGCCTTACCCCAGGACCCAGGTTTTCTGACCCTCCCAGCAGCCTCATCTCCACACAGTGCTCTGCCCAGCACACTCCTTTTTCATCACATTTGGAAGCCGCAATGAAGGAAAACATGCAAAAATTTTTTATGGGCAGTAAATGCTTTTGTTTCTGGACAAGCTCTCTCAGTCCAGGGACTACTTAATCAGGATCTTGGGAAACAGCATTTATGTGTGTATTAAGAATTTAGTGACATTCATTCATTAGTGCACCTAGTGACAAATGACCTCATGGCTGGCTGTGTTGATGATGTACTCTGGGTGCAGCTTAAGCAGGCAATGGAACTGCTGGAAATCTGTTTCTGTCTGAGGGTAGTGGTGTGGACACAAAGTACATAGACAGCCACATGGTACCCAGAGTGCTTTAATAGTCTACTGCTCACCTTAACCATTTAGAAAGTAACCTCAGCTTAAGGGAGGAAATTTTAGTGTTTTAAATTTTCCATATAAAACTAAACTTTATCTGATTATTAGTATTTTTTACAATTTTGTTTGACTTCTTAGCATTTTTTTAAAGTATGTGTTTATTGATTTCAGAGAGAGGAAAGAAGAGAGAGATAGAAACATCAATGATGAGAGAGAGTCATTGATCAGCCTCCTACCTGCCCCCTACTGGGGATTGAGCCCGAAACCCGAGCATGTGCCCTGACCGGGAATTGAACTATGAACTCCTAGTTCGTGGGTCGACACTCAACCACTGAGCCACGCCGGCTGGGCAATCTTATTCTTGATTAAACTTTTTTTTTCTTTTTACTATTTTATTTTTAGTAAGATTTTTTTCTGATTATGAAACTGAAAACATTTATTGCAGGACTTTAGAAAACAAAGCATACAGTGACTTACATAAAATAAGGTAACCTTAAAAAAATAATTAAAATTGAAGCTCCTACAGTGCCTATATGTCTACTTTATTACTCACAATGTAAATATAAACATGATTTTAGACCTATTCTGTTCTGGTAGTATTTTGACATTTTCATGTAACAGCAAGTCTGGAAGGACCTTTGAGTTCGCTCAGCCCAACCACAGACCTAGGTGGGCTTAATGACTCACCCAGAGACCGCAGACTGATCAATGGGTTTCTCTCCTAGTTCCCCGTTCTTCAATTTACACCTCACACTCTCTTTAAAGTTTTTCTTTTAGGAATTTAGCAGATAATCTTTTTTCCATTATAGCATCTTAACAGGTACCTTTTCAGAGATAGGCTTCTCTGTTCTCACTCTGAGTTGACATATACTACTTTTTCTCCATTTAATAAATTATATTCCAGTTGTGCCCCCTCTTTCAACTTTACATTGCCCTGCTTTTTTTTTTTTTTTTGCTGCTGCTGCTGTTTGATCCACTAGAGTGGGAAACTTGGGAACCATGTCTTCTGACTGGCTCCTGTATGTCAATTAGTTATGTTCCCATCCTTGCAAGTTTTTGTTAACTTCAGTTCAGTAGATTTTAAATGATGTTTGCAGGCCCAGGGGTTTCTTGGAGCTCACTCCTTAGGAAATAGGAGAGGAGCACTTCCTTTAAAACAGCAGAATAGTTTTAAATTTCTCTGTTGGGAGGTGGGGAGGGGAGTAGGGCTCCTTTATTCGTTATTGGTATCAGATTTTATGGTAAATAATATATTTTGGGGAATATCTCATTAGTTGGGTAAATCTTAGCCTTAGGAAGATCATCAAAAAGAAAAAAAGCCATCTCTCTTAATATTTTCCGGTTGTGTATCTTTATAGTATTGTTGTTGAGTCATATCAGTTTCATCACACTGCCTCTTAGGCCACAGAATTTCCTCTTGGTTATAGGACTCGTGTTAGTGAAATTCTTAAATTTCATTTAAAATTGACATAGCTTTAAAATGCTGACTTTAGAAAATATTTTTAAGTATTAGATGGTAGCAGCATTCTGTTTTGGAATGTTATATATTGCTTACAGCATTTCTATCATTTCTATCTAGACTTTTTACTTAGGCCAAAATAATTGGTTGTCAGAGTCTCTTTATATGCAGCAATCTCCAGTGGCACTTTGAAAGCAGGTCTAATTTTTGTTTTTCTAACACCCAGACTCTGGAAACTGCAACTAGAGCATAATAAACTAGTACAATAAATTGTTACACACTATAAAAAAAAAAATAAGGCCAATAGAGGTCACTCATAAAAGTTTAGAGTTAGATTTATCTTACAGATAATCTAGTTAGACTCCTTCATTTTTCAAATGTGGATGCTGGTTTAGTGAGTGCCAGCAGACTCATAAGTAGTTTTGGGCGGAACTGGGAGGAAGACTCTAGGTCTGTTTCTCATGTCGCATTCTGTGTATTTCACTACATAACAGATGCAGTGCAGCTATTTAAAATGTAATTTAAATATTTCTATTTAAACTACAAAATTATTTGGAGTAACTTTAAAACCTTTCCATGCCCCCATTTTGATTTTTTACCCCTTAATGAACCCTGTAGCATCCATGGGAGACAAATAGGGACATTTTGGGGTTTGCAAATCTAGGCTCAGGTTCTCTCTCTAAACCTTGGGTACTTTATGTCTTTCATCAACTCCTTTAGAGTCCACCTTGGTGCCCATTGTCTCCGTCCTACGTGGGGCATAAGGTGAAGAGACTGATTGAAGAAGAGACATTTTGAACTTATATATTTTTTCTTTTGGAGGAAAGAAAATGTAAGAACTCTGAGGAGAAAGAAATGGATTTCTCAGTTTACAGCATGTTCTTTGTAAATGCATTTAAGTGCAAGTTCTCAGAGGCAGGGATCGTGTTTGGAATCGCTCCTACGATGAAGGCCTGTTTCTGATATAGAATGTCAGGTGCTACTCTGAATTGTAATTGATTATTTTTTAAACAACTTTTTAAAATTTTGGAGTAATTCTAGACTTACCCAAAAGTTGGAAAGATGCTAGTTTCCCCTTCTCCCTCCCCCCGTTTCCCCCATTGTTAGCATTCTGTTCCATGGTCAGAACTAGGACACTGACAGTAGCTGGAAGTCTTCTATGACTGTCATTTTTCTGCTCTAGGGAAACCCATCTCCCTAGTCTCCTCTGGTCTGGACAGTTTCTTAGGCTTCCCTTGTTTTTCACAAGCGTGCCAGTTTTGAGGAGTACTAGCAGGTATCTTGTAGACTGTCCCCAGTCTGGGTTTATCAGGTGCTTTCCTCCTGGTTAGACTGGGGTTATGAGTTTAGTTCCCCTTCTTGTTGCATCACATCAGGGACTGCGTGGCATCCACGTTTATCACTGGTGATGTTAACATTCACAGTTGGGTAAGGTGGGGTTTGCCAGGTTTCTCCACTGGCCAACTGCTACTCTTTCCCTCCCACGCTGTTCTTGAGAAGCAGGTCACCAGGCCCAGCTGTCAGGGGCGAAGGGCAGGGATTCAGCCCCACATCCTGAGGCGGACTGTCCATACGTATTAACTGGAACTCTTCAGTAGACAGAGGTGTATTTCTTCTCCCCTTTATACCTTTATTTATTCACTTATTTGTTCACATCAGTATGGACTCATGGGTGTTTATTTTGTACTTTGGGTGATAATCCAGCACTCCATTATTTTACTGCTGAGATTGTTGCAGCTTGGCCCGTAGGAGTTCTGGAGGTGGGCTCCATGTCCCCCACTCCGGAGACTTCTTTACTTCCTGGTACTCTTGGGGGCTCCATGCTCATCTTGTATCTTCCCATGCCCCACTCCAGAGCCAGCCATTTTCCCCAGGAGCCCCGGTTCCCGCTGGAGAATAGTATATGGACATGGCTCTCAGTGGGCTTGTTGGCACTGGGGTGTCCCTGCTTCTTGGCTGTCTTGCAGACAGAGCTAGAAAATGCATATGTGCATGCTAACCCGTGTTTGCACACTTATTTGTCTACTTGTATTTATATTAAACTAAACACACATTCATACTGATGTCTCTGACTCGTACCCTGTACCTCGGGTTTATTTTAGACTTCCTTTCTTGCTTATTTCTCTCTGAGAGTAAGAAACCTGGTTTTTATTTTCCTGTTTACTTATTTGTTCAGCCCCAGTGTATGTGTAAAGCAGTTTCAAAATATATTACCTGTAAGAAATAAATGTGCACAGTGTCGCGCTCCTTTTTATCTCTAGCCCCCCAGACTTCGTTTCTGCAGTGGGTGCCTCTTCTCTCCTGTTCTGATGCAGCTGTTTTCGGTCCCAAGGGCTTCCGCTGTCCCATCAGTCTTTCTGAGTTGATTAGCTTTGTCACTTTCTGAGGCTATGGAGATGAATTCCGTCTTGGAGAAATACAGAGGAATAATTACCTAGTGAGCCACAACGTTTCTGTGATGAACTTTCTGGTATAGGATGTGCAATTTCTCATTTTTTAAATATCAAATGTAAAGTTCCCATATCTATAATAATATTTTACAGACCGCACTGTGTCGTGTCGCCCTCGGAGCTGAGTGAGCATGGCAGAGCCCTGCGGTCCTGAGGGGATCCCCAGACTCCCCTTGTAGTTCCCCAACAGCTCCAGCAGTTCTCCGAGGCGCACCCGTCCCTGCTCTCCTTTTGCCAATGAGTTTATCTTTTTAGTTCTTTACTCCTGTTAATTTGTACTTCTGAGCTACAAAAGGCTTATATAGGGGAGCCAGACTTGACTTTCATGAAGACCCCAGTTTAGAATTCTGTTTTATTGGGGCCAAATACAGAAAAACTGTATGTCCACTTACGACACATTTGACGGGGATTATCTTTTTTTTAAAAAGTATTTTATAAGCCAAGGCTTTCCTGCAGGCTCCATTTTGGTTTTCATGCCTTACCGGCAAAGCCGCCCTTGAATTCCACTGTTAGACGTTCCCGCGGGTTGTGCCCGCGCTGGCCCAGGAAGCGGCCGGGGTCCGGAGCGGCGGCCGCTCCCGCGGGGACGCCGCGGGGCAGTAACCGTGTCCCCTTCGGCCCGAAGTCTAGGGCGTGCCTGGAGCGGATCCAGGAGCTGGAGGACTTGCTCGCGAAGGAAAGGGACAACTCGCGGCGCCTGCTGTCCGACAAAGAGAGAGAGATGGCGGAGATCCGCGACCAGATGCAGCAGCAGCTCAACGACTACGAGCAGCTCCTGGACGTGAAGCTGGCGCTGGACATGGAGATCAGCGCCTACCGGAAGCTGCTGGAGGGCGAGGAGGAGCGGTGAGTGGGCGCGGCCGCCGCTTCCGCTTAAAGGAAACTGACAGGATTGGCTGACACTTCAAACAAGGAGGGCGACGTTAAACAGTCTCCCTGCCATTTCCGTTAAGGCCTAGGCTGAGGTGTAGGTAGTAATCGACCATATTTCTACCTCAGCAACAAGAACTCGCTCCCGCAGCCTTTTATTATTATTATTATTATTATTATTATTGCTGTTGTTGTTACAATAAATGCTGAACTCTGTCAGGACGGAGTCTTTGAGATAGTTTGATAATACAAGTTGTAAAATACCAGATTTGCTGAGACTTTATACTTATATTTTCAAACCCGGTTAGTGTATAAATCCTTTTAACACCTATTTATTTCTCAAAAGAAAGTTCCAAAGGAAAAGTAATGGGATTGAGAATAAAAAGCCATTCAGTTTCAGTGTTTACGTACATTGTGGCTGTAATTCTGTCCAAAAGAAAATCCGGGCATGACAAGACTAAGAAAGGCGTGTAAATATAACCGCGGGGGCGGCCCATGGGCGACGCCCTCCGGCTTCGCAAACCTCCCGCGCGAGGTTAGAGGGCAACAGTCTCTTCCGGGGAAACCTTCGAATCGCCCCGCGCACCTTTAA